TGTAGTATGTACATAGAAAGTAAAAATGTAGAAGTCTAGGCTATGTAATCCTAGCTACTTCGGTGGGTGAGGCAGAAGGATTGCTTGTGGCCAAGAGTTTGAGATCAGCTAGGGCAAAATAGCAAGACCCTTGTCTCAAACAAAAAAAAAAAAAAAAAAAAAAAAAAGGAGAAAATATGCTGCTATTGATGATAAGAACAGGTGTTCACTATGTGTCAAGTACTCTCCCTAATGCTTTATACGGGCAGTGTATGGCTAGACCACACTTACCAGCCTCTCTTATAGTTAGATGAAGCCACGTGATTAAATCTTTTCCAGAAGAATTTGAGAAGAAATGACAGGTAGAACTGGGCTGGGGCACTTAGTATGTGCCTCTCAAAAAAAAAAAAAAAAAAAAAAAGTTAAAAAATCACGCGGAAGAATAAGTAACAGATTACTGAATGGTTCAAAGGCACTGCTGACTTTCTGTAGTGTTTGGTTTTTACTTGTTTTAAAAATGATGAGTATACATTGCTGTTGGAAGCAGTGAAAAGTGAAGCATTTTGTAAAGGCATTCTTTCCTTCAGTGTTTGTGTTAGTATGTGTTGCACTGCAAGCTGGGTAATTCATAATGAGAAGAGGCTTATTTGGCTCATGGTTCTGTGGGCTGGACAAGAAACAACTGTGCCCACATCTGCTTCTGGTGAGGGCTTCAGGGAGCTGCCAGTCAAGGTGGAAGGTGAAGCGGGGAACAGGTGTGTCTCATGGCCAGGCCCGAGCATGGGAGAGGGAGGCTGTTTTCAACAACCAGCTCTCGGGTGAACTAATAAAGTGAGAAAACTCTCATTATCTCGGGGAGGGCACCCCACCACTTAAGAGGGACCATAACCCAAACACTTTCATCAGGCTCTGCCTCCTACATTGGGGATCAAATTTCAACATGAGATTTGGAGGGGCCAAACATCCAAACCATGTCAGTGCTACTGTTAGATACTTTATGTCAATTTTTTTTTTTGCAGTTTTTGGCTGGGGCTGGGTTTGAACCCGCCACCTCTGGTATAGGGGGTTGGTGCCCTACTCCTTTGAGCCACAGGCGCTGCCTCAGTTTTTTTTTTGTAAGACAAAATCTTTCTCTGTCACCCTAGGCAGAGTGCCTTGGTGTTATATCTCACAACAGCCTCAAACTCTTGGCCTTAAGTGACCCTCTTGCCTCAGCTTACCAAGTGGCTAGGATTACAGGCACCTGCTACAACACTGGCTTATTTTTCTGTTTTTAGTAGAGATGGGGTCTCACTCTTGCTCAGGCTGGTCTTGAACTCCTGAGCTCAGAGGATCCACCTCCCAGAGTGCTAGGATTACAGGCATGAGCCACCACACTGGCTCTATATGTCAATTTTTATTGTTGTTGACACAAAAGTGGGTGTAGAATTGAAGGTATTGTGACTCTTGGTATAGCACGTTTTCCACTATGTCACGGTGCTCTCAGTCAGTCAGTTGTAGCAATAGGTTGTATTCAATGGAGTTCATCCTAAACAATAATTTTGGTTCTCTAACTTTGTTGAAATGGAATCTTATCAGTACAACTTTGATTGAAGGAGAAAGTTTTTGACTTGGAACTTCCAGAAATCTGAATTTCTCCATAATATTACTATACTTAAAAAAACTCACCTGACTAGTAGCTCACAATTTTCCAATGCTATGAAAACTTTGGAAAAACTTGTTTATGGCAATGTTTCTTGTTAAACTCATCATCAGTTTCAGCGGAGTAATTAATAAAAGGCATTTTTTCCAGGTCTAGCCTGAAGAGTACACCTGCTTTTACTTGTGTGCACATGAAGGAAAGTGTTTATATGAGGACTGTGAGATGTGTAAGAAACTTCTGATGCACGTAAAAGAGATGTAGGTTAGGAAAATTTTGCTAGATGATGAATGATAGACAAAGGAGGCAGTCAGGCCACCTGTGGAAGGAAAAGGCATTTGCACCTGACCAGGTCTTCCTGGATCATTCTTGTGTCCTGAGATGATGTCCATGCCCAAGGATGTGCTGTGCAGACTGTTGTAGGAAATTACGGGGTGGTGGCTTTTATCTGCAGCTAGTCCTTGTTCATCTCCAGCCTGCTTCTAGTTTAATGTGTTCCCAAAGACCTATGTTATTATGTCTTTATTACTTTATTATGTCTTCTTTATTGCTTTAATGATTTTAACACTACTATGACAAGGGTAGCTTGGGAAATTATAATTTTATAGATTTAATAAACGGAATGGGATGCAGATCTTGAGTCAGACTAATTCTTTGTCTACCAAACTACTGTTCCTTCAATAAGTTTCAAGTTGGGAATAGTTTTTCTTGTATTTTTATCTCTGGTGCTTAAGCATGTTAAAGATAGGAGGGGAAAAAAAGCCAAAACAACGGTAATAGAATTTGGTTATCTACAGCCCTAACCTGGTGTGAAAATACCCATCAGGCTGTATGGAAAGGTAGTGCGTTAACATTTTCCTATGTGTAGTAAACTCACTTGTCTGTTACCAGTGTTCCTTGCTATGACTGTGTGGCTAGCATCTTCAAAAAGGGCAACTTTGAGGCTAAGTACAGTGGCTCACACTTGTAATCCTAGTGCTTTGTCGAGGGGGGAGGATTGCTTAAGGCCAAGAGTTTGAGACTAGCCTGAGCAAGAGGGAGACCTTGACTCTATAAAAAAATAGAAAAATTAGCTGGGCATGATGGGCACACCTGTAGTTTCAGCGACTCAGAGGCTAAAAGCAGGGAGATTGCGGCATGGCGCTTGTGGCTTAAGCAACTAAGGTGCCAGCCACATACACCAGAGCTGGCAGATTTGAATCCAGCCTGGACCTGCCAAACAACAATGACAATTGCAACCAAAAAATAGCCAGGTGTTTGGCAGGCACCTGTGGTCCCAGCTACTTGGGAAGCTGAGGCAAGAGAATCACCCTAACTTCCCTTACCATTGATTGTATCCAGCAGGTACTGTTTTCCTTTGGGATCTGCTTGGGTGCCTATAACAAACTAAGGATTCCTGGGCCCCATCCCAGGTATTCTATTGAATCACAGTCCCTGGATGTGAGGGCCAGGAATCTTCATTTTAAACTTTTTCCTTAAGTTATTCTTAATCTCACTGAAGTTTAAGAACTGGGCCTTCTTTAGGAAGTAAACTTTTATACATGTTGCAGTACTGTGCATCAGGACTTAATGATTCACTGCCTATAAATTCTGTGCATGTTTTGTTACCGATAAAGAATGATCACATTTATTATTATTTTAAACCAAGCTCAATTATAACTATCCCATGTTTGATTAGGGTAGGTTTTGAGATCCTCCTTATATGCCCATGTGTTTTGTTTGCTTTTCTGTTTTTACTCCTTTTCACCTCTCCGTTAGTTTAGGGATTAATGACTTTTTCTGATGTAGCATTTTACTGACATGGTTGTGAATTTTTGAGGGAATTGGTTTGGGATAATAAACAGTCCCTTTTACCAGCATCTTTGAAAGACTTGTTGCAGTGTTATTTCTGGCAGTCTGTGGACTTCATGGTGAACAGGCTGTCTTGATCTCTAGCAATGTCAGAACGTTCTCTTCCTGCATTCTGACTCCCGCTCCTTTCCTCACCCTGTTTCCTTCACCCAGTCTCTCCTTAAATTTGGGGCATACACAATGGAATGAAAGATTTGTTCCACGCTGATGTTTAGGAAAATTCTATGTTGACTTTGAGCTCAGGGATACCAACTGCCATTTCTTAAGTAGGATTAGAAATAGCATATTAAAAAGACATGTTTGGTTGTTTGCTGGTTCCCTGAAGAAATGTGTAAAACAGGATATGGAATATTTACAACAAATATGTGTATTTTTTGATGGGAGGAGGGCTGGTGGTTATTTAACTCTTTGGAGACAGGTACGCTTACAAGTTTCCCTATTTATGTTGCCTTATAAAGAGGAATACTGTGTGATGGAACAAGAAATGATTTTTACATTTCATAAACTCATGACAGACTCTGTCTTTGTCCTGAGGCAGGATATGTGTGCCCCCTAGGAATTGGTCTTCTATCCATCACAGCAGTTGTTACCGCATGTGGCTATTTAAATTTAGATTACAAACACACTGCATTATGACAGACATTTCCATCAATGACTGACTGCATATATAACATAGATTATAATACCATATATTTACTGTACCTTTTCTATACTTAGATGTATAGATACCATTGTGTTATACTTGCCTATAGTATTCAATACAGTAACATGCTATACAAGTTTTAGTCCAGGAGCAAAAGGCTATATATAACATCTGGGTTTCAGTAAGTACATTTTATGATAGTCATACAACATTGAAATAACATGTAAGACCCATTTCACACAATGTGTCCCCATCATTAAGCAACATGTGACCATAATTGAAAATAAAGTAATTCAGTTTAGTTCAACTAGCCTCCTAGAGTCTCACTCTGTCACCCTGGTGGGTAGAGTGCCATGGTGTCATAGCTAACAGCAACTTTAAACTCCGGGGCTCAAGTGTCCCTTTTACCTCATCCTCCCAAGGAGCTGGGACTATAGGCGCCCATTAGGATGCCCAGCTTGTTTTTTCTGCTTTTAGTAGAGGCAGAGTCTCACTCTTGGTCAGGCTGGTCTTGAACTTCTGAGCTCAGGGTAGCCACCTGCCTCAGTTTCTCCCAGAATGTTAGGATTACATGTGTGAGCCACCAGACCCAGCCCCATTTTAAATACTACCTGGCCACATGTTGCTAGCAGCTACCATATTGGACAATGGCAATATAGATCATCTCCATCGGTCCTGAAAGTTCTTGTGGACATTGCTATGCTAGACTGGTCATTTTAAAGAAGAGACAGAGGCAAATGAAAGAGCAAAATAATGAACACCCAGATTCCCACTCTTCCTTCCACAGTACAACTGTTCCTGTCTTTTATCTTTCAGTAAAATTTAGAAAAAGAACTTTGAGTATGATCATTTTGACTTTGTGTTTTAATATTTAATTCTCTTTCCCAGGCTGGCAGTGATGGTGAAAGCATAGGAAACTGCCCCTTTTCCCAGAGGCTCTTCATGATTCTTTGGCTCAAAGGAGTTGTGTTCAGTGTCACCACTGTTGACCTGAAAAGGTAAGAAAGACACAGCTGCAATTTGGGATCAATTTAAGTTGAAAGTATATACTGAAGTAAAACACTTCAGTGTTTTGTTTTTTTTCCCCCAGTATGATCCTGGCCCCTCACTTTGATTACGCATAAAGGATGTATTGTATTATAGTTCTGCTGGTTTATGGACAACTTCTGTAAATATTATGAACAACTCACAATATCAGTGTATCACATGTGACCACTCAGTCCTTTTAGGAACTTAATGTATGTTTACCTTAAATCTCGTGAGTAGCTTCAGGAACTCAGTTTTAGTGTGGATGCAGTAAAATACTTGACCTTTCCAGTGTAAACATGGAACTATGAAGAATTTTCTAAGCAAACATGACCTTGGTCTCTAATGTGCTAAACCTGTGACTTATATAATCTGGATCTTTAACCATGGAATTTTTAGGAGGCTGAATACTCCTTTTCATTTAATTTGTAATTTACTTGCCAGAGAATAAAAGTAGTTTTCTGTAACATGTTTTTAATCCCATTTGGGTAAATATATTATAAAATAAGAGCAATTATCTATGGGCGTTTGATTGTTCTTGTTAGTTTAGGAGTCGTTCGTAGCTTTCTCCCTCACAGACCATAATGGAGAGGGCTGAGAAGAGTCCTGAGCTTCTCTTCTTCCTTAGCAAATAGGTCTGAGGTGAAGGACATATATCTCTTTCCCCAAAAGATTTAAATCAAGGGTTAAGAGTAGCTGTGCCAATGGGAAAATCTAGGACTTGGCAGTGGAAATGTACTCCTTTTGACACAAATGCACAGTATGGTTCACTACTTAATAAGCATATTAATTCATGAATTGTATGTAGGAAAAATATGGACAGGCTATCACTGGACGTGTGGCAGAATTCACGTACAGTATCCCTTTGTGAGCCTCAGACATGGATTATCTGAGAGCTATCATGCCATTTCCAGCTCTAGGTTAGCATGTTTGAATCTCTTGCATTTATTTGAAATTTTACAGACTTTAAACATTTATTACAAATAAGCTGTGAAGTCTTACAGGGAATGCTTTAGTTATATATATAAAAATGTAGAATTAAACTCTTGGGTATGGTGAGAGTTAAAACTTACAAGCTCTTAGGAAGACATTACCTAGTTTATGTTGGACAGAGCTATTGTAAGAATGAAGTCAGTCATGCAAGTTACCCTTCTATTACTGTTTTTTTTCCTACATGCATTCACAAAGGAAGTCTTGCAGTATAACTTCTAAAAATAAACTATGCTACCAGGCCCACACCCTTGCTATGTCCTAAAATACATGGATTTCTCCACTTCCATTTTTGGCTTGGAGCAAGTGAGTTGACTGCCATGACTGCTATGCTTTGAGAAAGCCTTCTTTGAATTACTCAGTACAGTGCTTGATTGTGGTCCATACCAACCAGCAAGAGAGCCATAGCAATGGGAATCTAGGTCCGGAAAGGAAGGGAACCCATTGTGGTTAATTCAAAGTCATCTATTTCTTCTCATAAAGGCATTATTCTTACACATTGACTAATATTTCAAGATTTAGGTGTGTATAAGTGTATATGTAGAAATATGTGAAGTGTATTTAAGTGTATATGTTAAATATTTGTGTATATGTGGATACATAGATTACATACATATAATATGCAAATGCATATTCTGTGGCACATGAGAAATAGGCATTCAGGACTTCATAACCAGAAAATATCAGTGATGTATGTTTATTTCCCAGGGCTTTGTGTAGAATCACCGGTAGAGAGGACTTAAAATTGAAGCTTATATTTTTTTGGTTTTCTTTAGAAATCTTAGATTTAAAAAATGGTCTTAGGGCAACTAAAGGCATGAAAATGAGTCCCTTTAACCCCCAACCCCTGGCCATCAGCTTCTCCTTTACAGAGATGAGATGATTTTAGGTTTGATCTTTCTCCTTCCAGACCTTTTCTATGAGTCGACATGCTTAAAGTCTTGAGCAAAATTTCACAGAGAAGGTATGCCAAGAGAGTGAACATTGGCTCAAAAAATAATGTATATTCAATTTTTCGCAGAGGAATAAAACATCCTGTCATAAGTACCTTTTGTAATATATTTTTCATTTTAAAACATTAAATGTGACTCTATTTAGAAATCTGTGGGGGAGAAAATGCCAATAGTGCTTATTTTTCTGCTTTTCTTGATAATTGCCTAGTTTCTTGGTGAAAAGTACTGATCCCAGAACAAACCAGTGGAGAACAATAGTATACCACTGAGAGCTATTTAGAAGCTCACTCTGTGCTCTGAAAAAAATGATTGTTACATGACATTTCATCTATAAGAACAAGCCCCTTTCTAGTTCTGGCACCGTATGACATGTTCTCTTTGAATCTCAGTTGGTATTAATGACTATGCTGGTCGTTTTCATGTGCCTCTTGTGAACCTTTGAATAGTCTCCCGTTACGTTCCTGCCTGTGCAGCCTTGGTGCTTTAGCTTTCCAAACTTAATTTTCTGTTCATGCTGCAGTTGTATTCAAGAACTTGTAGATAAAAAAAAAATGCCCAGGCTTCAGAAAGACTTAGATCAGAAAGATTTACATCAGAAAGAAAGCAGAAAGATTTATATCAGTCACTATTTGAACAAAAGTTTCAGGTTAAGTGTAGGTGAAAATTTTAAAATTGGGGGTATAAAGATGCCATCAATTGGGGAGCAACCATGGCATAATAGATAGTATCAAGAGTAGAGACCACTGGGACCGTGGGCAAGCTGCCTCATCTCCCAGGGGGAAAAAGGAACATTTCCTCTCTGTCATCTAAATGCTAGATACTGTTCGGGGCACTTCTTACTATTTTCAAACTATTTTCAGACCTTGTATTGACTGGAATTCATTGTTGTATCAGACTTTCTGGTGGACAGGTTCATTGCAGTAATCAGGGCTTTAGTTGAAGACTTTTACCATCTTCATTATGCCTAGAAGTTCCTACCTCAGAGCCTAGCATTTGCGAGCACACTTGGATTTTAGTTAAATCTGTCAGTGCCACAGATAAGCTTGAGAGGTAGGCAAAGGGAAGACGAAGGAGAAAAGTCTCCCCATGAGGAGAGAGAAACACTGACACGGTGACCGGGATGTACCCAAGTGCAGCCCTATGTCGTCACACACCTGTTGGGATAAACTTTTCTGGTTTTGAAAAATGGGGATAAAAATGATAACTTGAAGCCATTAGCTCTTTATTGTAAGGAGCTGTATCTGCTGATGAGTGAATACAATCCTTTCTCTAGGGCATTCTCTGCAAGAATAAATGAATTGGGGAAGACTGCTTATGAAAGATGGAAGTGTATGTTTCCATTCCCATTTCTACCTTGAACACCGAAACTATCTCATTCTCTGCAGTGTCCCTGGTGACTTCCTTCTGTTTCCAATGTAAACATACCATTTGTAATATATTATGTGAGTCAGACCCACGCAGATTACAACAGTAAGGACAGAAAGCTGTGAAGGTAATTGTGAGAGTTCAAATTTTAACAATTTTGATAGTGTCAAATGTTATAATGGAGCTGTGAAACCAATACTTCGGTGTAGCTTAAAAGGCATTTGAAAACTCAGAAGAAAATCTGACTCCCAGACAGTCTTCAGATTGTTTTATTTTCATTCTCATGCCTCTGTGGTTCCACCCTTCTGAAAACAGTCTGCAGTAGAATGAGAAATCAGTTTCATTTCCAAGTAGATCTTCAGTAGCAGCGGCTTGAATGAGACAGGAGGAGAGACTAAATGGAAAGGCATAGGTCCTGCCTTGAAAGAAATGACCCATTTCCTGCTGCTTGCCAGTCAGGAAAGCACAGACTCCATTTCTCCTCTTTGTGAAGTTGACATGCACTGCTGAAGCCCTTATTAGAACAGTCCTACACCTCGAGATGAATGTGTTTTATGAATGCGTTCTGAATCACACACATATCCTGTGTGGGTGGGTGGGAGTGGGGAGAGGCCGGCAGAGAGGGGGAACTTAGCCACATGCCACATGGTCTTTTTCAAGGTGATTTCAAAGGGGATATCCAGTTGAGGCCGCTAAGAATGGGACTAGAAAAATTATTAGTGAATATTTTTCTAAACCTCTTATCAGTCTAATCTTACTTCTAAACTGTGTTTTTAAAATATGTTACAGAAGCTAGATTTGAAGTCTTTTCAGGGGTGCTATTTTGTTTTTAAAATATGGCTCTACCCATTGACATCAAAGTAGACTGAGATTAGCAGTTTACCACATTTAATCAAAATTGGCAAAATCTTTAAACTGGTTGGGACAAACAGATAAATTTAGTAACTAGGCGACTTGGTGTGTGAGTTTTGGTGAATCCCCAATTAATTCATTCATTTAGAGACTAACATTAATTAAGCCAGAATATAGCAAATCTAGTAGTAAAGAATGATTAACAGTAGGGCGGCGCCGGTGGCTCAAGGAGTAGGGTGCCGGCCCCATATACCAGAAGTGGCAGTTCAAACCCAGCCCTGGCCAAAAATTACAACAACAACAACAACAAAAGAATGATAAACAGTAGTAAAGTATTTTGAAACAAAGAATTCTGTAGTGTTAACTGGTGGGGTTATTTTCTGATTATGTACTTACATAGTGTCCAGTATTCTCTTGATATGTGCAAATTAATTTTATGCCTCAAAAATCAGCACCTTCAAAAAGGAACTCAATTTAAAAGGTAAGTTCTATGTACTTAATTTTTCTTTTTACATTTAGCAGGTCAGTCTGTTACAGATAGGTCATCTGTAACATCAGAGCCAGCCCCAATGTTCTATAGCTGTGCTTGTGCTCATTTTATACCACGCAG